TTCTACCTCCCCCTCATCTAAGTTTTGCCCTACCATGCAACTTTTCTTGAGATTGATCTTTAAATAAGAAATCCTTTCAAAGAGTTTTAAAAAAAATCTCAACCTTCTCACTTGTTGTAGAATAAAATCATCACCAAAAATCATTGTGTCATCTACAAATTATAGGTGAGTGATCACCACTGCATCTCTTTCCGTTCTCCAACCTCTCAAAAGACCTTCCTCATCGGCTTTGGAAATCAATCTACTAAGGGCATCTATAATTAAGGTAAAAAAGAAGGGTGAGAGTGGATCTCCTTGTCTTAGGCCTCTAGAAGCTGGAAAAAAGTCTCTTACTATCCCATTAACCATCACAGAGAAATGGTTGTTCTACAAGCATCCTTTGATCCATTTATGCCATTTCTCTCCAAACCCACATTTTCTTAATACCATTAGTAAAAAATCCCAGTCCACCAGATCGTAGGACTTCTCCACATCTAATATACACAAAAAGCCTTTGCTATCTGCCTTCCTTTTCTCCTATAAACTCTCATTGGCTATCAAAATCTGGTCCAAAATTTGCCTATCTTGCACAAATTCCCTTTGGTTAGGTATGATGATAGAGGGAAGTACCTCTTTTAGTCTCAATGTAAGTACTTTGGCCATTATTTTGTAAACACTTGTTACCAGGCTAATTCGCCTGAAATCTCTAAAGGACAAGGCCTCAAGGTTTTTTGGGATCAGCACTAAAAAGGTGGCATTAAGACCTTGATTTATGATGCGAATTTCAAAAAATTCCGAGAAAACTTCAAGCAAGTCATTCTTGATTATTTCCTAACAATCTTGATAGGATGCTATGGTGAACCCTATCATCTGTCTATGGAAAATATAACCTTCTTAATTTCTTCCAGGTCGAACCTTCTTTCAGAACTGCATTGTTGTTTTCATCTAGTGAAGGCCACTCTAATCCTTCCACTTCCAATCGATCCTCAAAGGCCAAGCAAGACTTAAAGTGGTCAACAAAGACCCTTGCTATCTCTTGTGACCTCCTCTCCCTCTCTTACCATTTTGGATACAAAGCTCTTTTTCTTTTTCCCATTTGCCACTGTGGAAGAATTTAGTATTAATATCTCCTTTTAACCACTTGTGCCTAGATTTTTTTCTTTTTTTTTTGATGAATGAATATAATTTATTAAAATAGAAATATGAGGAAATACAGTAGATCCAAGAGGAGGCACGAGTTGTTACCTCTTCTAACAAATATTACATCAAACTAAAGCAGAATTGACCAGAATTAACCAGAACTAAAATTACAAAGCAGCCCAAAATAAATGTCCCCTTGAGGCCCCTTGCTTAGCTAACCCATCCGCTAAGGCATTTGCTGATCTTCCCACCCAATGAAAGGTAACGACCATGTCTTTTTTGATCCAGTTGACTTTCCTTGGCATATCTCTATGTCGCCACATAGCTGAAGCTGGTTCTGTCAGCCATCCCACAACAATCTCAGAGTCCCCTTCAACTACCAAGTGCTAGACTCCTAACTGTTCTGCAATCTGAATACCTTGTACTGCTGATAATAACTCAGCTCTATTGGAGTCTTCTATTCCCACACGCGAGGCATTCCACTACCTAGATGCATGAGGCGTAGTTCGGAGGAGGATGAAGAGGAAGGGGGGATCTCATGTTTTCTTTATTTTTAATAAAAAACTTTTATATTAAGAAGAATAAAGATGGTTAACATTAGTTTGAGAAGCAACTTCTCATTGCATCTCACTCTTTCACTCAAAACAAACGAGAGAAAATAGGAATCTTGGGCGAATATTCCTATTTTCTCATCCCAGTTGCACAAATGAATTAGACTGTTAGTGACTCTTTTATTAATAATGGGAGCACCCAAATATTTGTCTTTGGTATTCCCACTTCTCTAGCTATGATCCTCTAGAATCTCGAGTGCACATTTTTTGAGAATAGCAATGTTGATTTTTAAATTTTTGACTCAAAGCATTAACAAAATTAATTAAAATGTCTTTGATACTGTGGCATGCCTCAAGGTTCACCTTAGCAAGCAAATTGTAGAATCAAAATTTTTGGTCCAATTCTCAAGGTTTTGGAGCCTAGGTAAGCCCTATTTCCTGTTGTTAGGTTTTGGATCAGTGACAGACAAATCCTGTGATGAATCAAACTCAGCCGGATCAATATCAGTGTGAATCTAATACACACCTACATGGCAGCCCAAAATCTCACCCCAAGGTCCAATAATTGAGATATCACTATAATAGGAATTGTCAATGTGACAACCTTAAAAAGTGAACTGACCAAGTCCACCCGTAGTTGGGATATTCTAGATTTACAAAGAACCATTCCATCCAAATCTCTCATGATGAGTCTCACTCGTTACCTAAATGCCCTACAATGTAACATCATGGACTAAACAATTATAAACAAATACAAGCAATAAAATAATGCCTCAAACAAAAGTCTTGCTTTTATTAAATAAAGAAACAGTATAAAGGCATAAAATGACTTTAAATGAGTACATGGAAATCATATTTCCAACACCTAGAGTGTATTGATCTCAAGAGGGGCTTCAAGTAAGATTCATAAAGTCCCAAGCACCAGCTTGATTTAAAACTCGACCCTTAATCTTCTTTTCTCTTGTCAACTAAGGCTTCAGGTAGAAATCTCCAAGATTCCTTTTTGGGCTTCGAAACAGTGATCTATGATTTCCAAAACCCTCTCAACTAGGAAATGATTAATATAACTGATCAACAATCTAGTTTTCCATACACACTGCTGATCACAATGTGTATGGAATCAAAAAATGGGGAAAAAGAATAAAGATGGATTTTTTTATTGGAAATAGTAAAAATAAAGATGGATACCAACTTGTCTGATTTAGCAATGTGAAATAAATGGAACAAAATTGTTTAACAACTCTGAAAAGTAGAACAGAGAGAAGAGGAGAGGAGAAGAAAAGGTGTTTGGGAGAAAATTGATTGTGGGGTTTTTGGGTTCCCCACTTAATTTTATATTCAAAAATAATTAGAGAAGCAAATTACATCAAAGCCCTCATGTGACAACTTAAAATGAAGAAATAAAGAAAAAAAACAGTAACATAATTATAGGCCATTTAGGCTCAGAAAGAGACAAATATCTAGTAAAAAAAGAGGCCTAAATCAACAACTCATCAGATTCCATTTTAAAATTTTAAAATACTAACATTTTTACCACTTTTATAAGCAACCATGTTAAAGAAAAAGATGGAGATTCAAATGGCATCTTCCCCTGTCTTACTGAACCAGTTATTTAAACCCTTCCTAGCCAATCTGATGTAGCTAAGAAGGTCTCAGATGCTGGGGGAAATCTCAGTTGGAGAGGAATGTGTCAATTGTCCAAAGAAAAGGGTATACTAGTTTCAGCACCCAAAAATGGACACCTTGACATTGATAACCAAACCACCTCTATCTGCAATGTTTCAACCCAAAGTTCTTTTGTTTACCCCTTGATCAAATTATCTGAATTACAAATCTCCCATACGGACACACCATCTAGCTATCGAATTTTGCCTCAAAAATACCTCCATTCACCCCTTGATCAAGGCAAGCTTCTATTTTAGCTCATTTCATTGATTGGAACCTATGATCCTTGAATCCCCTATATCCAATCTTCGCTGGACTAATCAGACCCCACCAATGAGTCTAGGACCCTTGGAAACCTCATCCTACCAAATTTCACCTAAAAATACCCTCTCTAGCCTTGAAATCAGATAAGAATCCATTCCGTATTCTGTCACTGGCCTTCATGCAAGACTTCTCTTAGACCCAAAAATGCACCATAACACCTCCAAAACTAATCCTGGTTGTCTAAATGTATCAACTCCTGGATGGGAATATTCCCTCTCCCTGCATATGCTTTTACTTAAATACCTCCAAAAATACTCTAAAATGCCTAGAATACATTCATTCTCCCTCTTCCCTAAATGCTCATATTCTCAACACCTTTGGACACTTCTACCCCCAACAAATTCCAAAATACCCAAACTACCCTTAATCTCCTACCCAGAATGCCCTTGCTTATCAAATTCTTGGACTCTCCTATCCTTAACCTTTTCGAAAGGCATTAGCTAAGCAAGGGCAGAAAGACAATTGATGTTCTGGGCACAATTGTAAAAAGAATTTGGGGAGAGATAAGATGGTTTATTTCTCAATCTTTGTATACTTATATGTATATACGTTTTAATTCTAGGGTTTAATAAAAGCTGCAGTTTTTGACCAAAAAAAAAAAAAAAAACAATAAGGGGATAGGAGCATAGTTTTCAAGGTGCCAAGGTGAAGCTAGGAGACAAGGGGGCCTTGTTACCTAGTCACCTGGCCAGGCGCCTAGGTGTCGCCAAGGCGATGGATCTTTTTAAGTAAAAAACATATATCGTAGGGTAGCTTCCTACATTCCATAACCATATTTCCTTAATAATTATCCATGATTTTCATAAGAAAAGTATAAAATTCATGTTGAAGTATGGAAAATCAACATATTCGTGCAAAGAAAAAGAAGAACGAAAAGAAAATTCAAAAATTATAGGGGCTGAACCCTATAGTTTTTGAAGAAGAAGAAAGAAGAAAGAAAATTCATGTAGTTTTTGAAGAAGAAAATGGATTGATTAGACAAAATTTTAAGTTCTTCCTTACTTATTGGTTCAAGTTTTGAAGTCTTTGAGGGTTCAATACAGCATTTTAGCAATGTCTGTGTTGATTAAACCCTAACAAATAAGAAAAAAATAAAAAGAAATACATATATAAACACACAAAATGGATATTTTAGTTTAATGATGTGTATTTTATAATTATAGTTTGAATAAATTAAGAATATAAAAGTATTTTATAATACAATGTACAAAACTGCTTACCGATTAACTTTGCATATTTATTAATTTTTATATAAAGTTGATTTTGGTTCTGTAACGTAGGTGGAAAATGATATGTACATGAGCACTCAAAGTTTGGATAGCTAGTCAAAATCGAAGGCAGTGAGATGATAATGTTTATCCATTTAGAGCCAACATTCAAACTCAGAATCACATCCACGAGGTAAAGGTATTAGAACCAAGAAATATTGCCGATAAAAAATCTTTACATATATTCCAACCAAAATAATATGTACCAGTTGGGCAGGAAAATATTTCAGAATGACCCACAATACCTGCACATAGGAATACTTATTGTCAGAAACAGTTGCAGGAGCTTATCCTGTTACTTTTAATCGCACGGGAGGAAAATGAAGATAAAGACAATTTTCTGACCTTATTGCTGGTAAGCCAATTGACTATGTGCATTTACTCTCCCATCCAAGTTCTTGCATTTGCCTAGCCCCTCAATCAAAGAAAGTACTATCATAGGGAGTAATTGTGGAGAGGAATTTCAGAAGTTTGGAAATTGTTGGACAAGCCATTGAAAATGGTCAATCGCTATCCTATAAATAGTAAGAAAAGGAAAATGTCAACGCAAGACTTTGTTAGATTTAATACCTGCATTTATATGCCTGCAAATAAGAAAATTCAATATGGTGTGTGAGAACAAGCTTTCTACAAAGACATGCTAATTAAATCCAAAGTAAATAATTACTTTGACAAACAACATAAAAAAGGTAGTAGACATCTACCATACATTTGTTCACATCAGAAGACACGTTTAAGTCTTTTACCCACCAAAAATAAAAAAAAAAAGATAAAAAGGTTAAAAGGTACAGAAGAGTTTACAAAAAAACAAAGCCAGGATTTCTGGTTCTTATATGGCAAAACCAACATTTCCAGTAAAGGGTTCAAGTACCACACTGTCCTGATACCACCTCTATAAAGCGTGAAAAATTCCAAAGGAGTATTAGTTAGTGTGTTGAAAAGGGACCAATGGAAGGTCCAATCTTGTTAAGGACAGACCCATTTTCACATTGAATGAGAAAGAAGAGCTGATGTTTTCAATTTGGTGGCAGGAACCAGTAAAGGGATAAAAGAGATAGCATTGATGCTACTGATACAGCAAAGGTACTAGATGATGCTACTGTATCGATTATAAAAGATCAAAGGAAAGAGAATATGGATACAGAGTTACCTATTTCATCAGGCTCTGAAAGTAGAAACAATGAAAATCTGAAATTAAAGGATAAAGACAGAAAGTTGTAACAATATCAGCACTAGTATCAGAACCATCATCCTAGAAGATCACAAACCCAAAATGTAGATATTGCTTTTACCAATGTGTGTACTGATGTGATAATGTCTATCAGACCTGTTCATGGGCCGGGCTTGGGCTTGGCTTTTGCCAAAATTTGAATGGGCCCAGCCTGAAGCCCTTGCCTGATGCAGTGTAAAGTCAGGCCCAAAGCCTGGCCCGTGAACAGGTCTAATGTCTATACAAATCAAAGCCAAGGAAACAAGAGTGTTACTACCTGGTTGCCAGTTTAGTCTTCCCTATATCAAGTTGCTGGTGAGGTTCCTGATTTGGGGGGGTGGGGGGGCAATGGTAGAAAGACAAAAAAACCAAGCTTCAAGAAAACTGGGAAGGAGAGATAGAGAGAGAGATGCAACTGCATACCTTCATTGTTGGAATTCGGATTTGTTCCTCACACCAACCTTGCATCATGTTGCAGTCGTGCATTGGGAATATCTCCCCATGCTTGACAACATACAAGTATAGGAGATGTTCCCAATGTGCAGCTGCAAGTGCTGTGAGGAGAAAATTCAGATCACTGTTGTGGTCATTGCCAAGAATGAAAAGAATAAGGGCACTCTTGCAACTTTTTTAACTTATATGACAAAAAGGAAAATCACTTCATACAGCAACTTTCGTTACCAACCATTTTATTTTTTTGGTAAACATTACCAATCTAATTCTAACAAGATCAATATTCAAAAGATTTTTAAAACTAAAAGATAATTTTGAGTCTACCTGTTTTGAATCTCCTTGAAGGTTAACAACCACTATCAGTCCTCCATGACCTCCTTCCTCCCTTTCTTACAATAAACAGAGAATTAATCTTTCCAATCTCTAACTCTTTCCACCCATCAAGTGCCACAGAAGACTTGTCGTGGCAAAACTCAATGTAGTAACCAGAAATATCAAGCCTGGTAGATCTCTTTCTTTGCCATCTACAAATCTGTTTTCTTGCAGAAAAGGTATAAAACCCTAGATTGCAAGAATACAGGAGAGTTCACAACTGAAACAGAACAAGACATTCTTCTTGTTGTTTCTATTATTTGTTGGTTCTTATCTGAAGAGCAAGGCATTTAAGGAGTTGATTAAGAGTCAAATTGGGTTTTTCATTGAATGGCCTTCAACTGTAAAGAATAAGAAGGAAAGCAATGAGCAGGAATGAGGGTTTTCAGTAAACCCATGCATAATCTCTTACCTTATCAGTAGGAGGATAAAATACTCAGGGAGTGGATGATAGTTCAACAATCAAATATGTTTTCATTTTCAGGAGAGAGCTTACATAGGGTTTAGTCACCGCAACCCAAATTTACACAAGCTACTGCTATAGCCAATTAAAGATTGGTCATGGCAATATCAATTTACCATATAATAGTAGGTTTATATGTGTGATCTATTACTACATGCATATAAAGACTGGTTAGAATCAAACATATAGCCATGGATATGGCGTCCATATCTAAAACATAAAAGGGCAGCCCAGTGCACAAGGCTCCCGCCAACGTGGGATCTGGAGAGGGACATATGCACACAGCCTTACCCCTGCAATGAGGCAACCCATCATGATTAAGGTAATTAAATTTAGCTACAGGCATTTTACACCTGTATCAATAGCCTGTCTTGTAGCTACAGTTTTCTGTCCATGGCTAAATGGCAGTAGCTAAAATTCCCTTTTCTTGTAGTATTATGCAATTGGAAAAAATTCTTGTTTATAATGTAATTTTGTGGTTGAACTCTGACAGAAAGGTCTTGTCATTGTAGCATTTGTTATTTGAAAGATTCTGTTGAAGATGGAGTATTGTCCAGTGATTTAAAAGCACAAGGGGCAATTTGCACCCAAGGCACAAGGCAAGGCACAAAAGTTAGGGGTGTTCACGGTCTGGTTTGGTTCAGTTTGGAGAAGATTTCAGACCAAACCAATAAATTATGGTTTGAAAAATTCTCAAACCAACGCAAGGTACCAACCAGCTGGTTGGTAACGTCTCCTGCTGGTCGTAGCGGAGACTTGGGATCAAATCCCACATGCACCTGGGTTGTGAGGGGGATTATGGGTTGGGGGATGGGCTACCCCCATTGTGTAGCCCTTCAAAAGAAATCAAAAAAAAAATATATTCTCAAACAAAATCAAACTGTTTTAGTATAGAAGCCACACCAGACCAAACCGTAATGGTATGGTTTGGTTTGTTTCTAAATTCTAATATGGTTTGAGCCATTCTATTGGGCTCAACCCAATTAGAAAGCCCAAATAGCATTCATGCCACATAAATAACAAATAGGTTTCAAATATCAAATTGAAATGTTAACTAGTGCCACATATTACTATTATATAAATTACATTCACACTCTCTCAAACATAAATGGGCATCAAATTATAAGTTAATAATTGAAACAAACAACAATAATGTATGAAATGTTAAATGAATACACACACACACACACACAGAGATATATATATATATATATATTATTAATAATTCAGTTTAATATGGTTTATGGTTTGGTTTGGTTTCTAAAATTTAGAAAACTAAACCAAACCCATAAATTATGGACTAAGGAATCCTCAAACCAAACCAAACCAGAGCAAACTGCCAATTTCAGTTTGGTTCAGTACAATTTGGCAGTCTAGACCATATAATGAACACCCCTAGAAAAAATACAAAAAATTCCAAATTTTCAAAAAATGCAAAAAAAGTAAAATAAAAATATTAAGCATAATATTAATAAAAATATAAACTTAGGTTTTAAAATAAATGTTTAAAAAAAATCTATTATCTAAAATTAAAATACATAAACATAACATGTAAAGCATATTCAAATGAAATTTTAAAAATAAAATCAAGCATATAAAACATATTCAAGCATATAAAACCCTTAACCTCTTTTTCCCTCAATTTTTTTTTTTTTTGATAAATGAGTGAAATTTTATTACCAGCAAATAAGAGTTACATGCAACCCATCGAAAGGCACGAGACGCAAGGATCTTAAATTCAAATAGCTAATGTGATGTAAAACATCTTGCATTTTTTAATCTACGAGTTACCTTTGTACCAAGTCCAAACAAGTCGATGTGAGGGTCTTAAATTCTTAATCCCTACACCAAAAAAAATGATTTTATAATTTTAATTTCCTTTTACGAAGATATTTTATTATGATGAATGAATGAATGAACAGCATTAGCAAATAGGGGTTCTCAAAAAAAACAAAAAGTGCAAAAAAAAAAAAAAATGTGCATGTCTCAGCTGAAGTGCAAGGCACACCAGGCGTGCACCAGGCGTGCACCTTTTGAAAGTGCTGCACTTGGGGCCTAGGCAAGACGAATACCTTAAAATGCACCTTGCCTGAGTGCCTAGGTGCACCTCAGACGTGCTTTTAAATAACTGGTATTGCCATAGATAGTTTAACTAAGGTGTTACTAGTGCAGCATAAAAATGGATTAGAAACCCACACAAGGTAGTGAAGTTAAGCTGAATTTTGATGGAACCTCGTTGGGCAGTCCCAGTATGGCAGGTATTGGTGGAGCAATTAGAAATTCAGAGGGCAGATTACTGGTCATTTACTCCAAGTCAATTGGTGTGGCTAACTCCATTAAAACTGAATTATTGGCTTTACTACAAGGTCTCGGGATAGCTAAGCGATTGGGCCTCAAATAAGTGGATGTGGAATGGGATTCCAAAGTAATCCCCTCAAGAATGCTTTCAAGGAAATAGAAAGGACTGCAAAAGAGCTGAATGCCAGATTTAAATGGGTTAGAAGTGCAAATGGGCTACCTGACTCCCTTGCTAAACAAGGGGTAGATAGGCAGCAATTGTTTTGGGCATCTTTGTAGCATAGTGTTGGTTGTTGGGCTGATGTTATGGTCATTAAATTAAACTTGTAATGCTTTTTCACATATTTCTAATATAATTTAAGTTTCATCGATCAAAAAAAATAAAAAACTCAGGTGTTACTAGTGTACCCAAGCAACATATAGTAGTCTACTCTTGATCTTTTGTAATCCAAATGAGAAAATATTAAAATTGATATCATCATCTGATATGATAATATAACACTCTTTTTTAGGATCATAAACTTAGTATTGAATAGGTCTACCCAAAAATACCTAAGGCTGTGTTTGGTTGCAGTGCAAATTTATTTGCACTAGTACAAATGCATGGGAGTGCAAATGTAAAAAATGCAAATTCTTGTTTAATTTTGTTTTGGGTTTTACTTTATTATGCTTCATGTCTTAATTTACTTTATTTGTACTGCAACCAAACAAAATAAGCTAAAATTTGAAACAAAAATAGGTCAGAATTTACACTCAAATCATTTGCACTGCCATGGTTTTGCATCAGTGCAAATTTATTTGCATTGCAACCAAACACAGCCTAAATATATTTCAGTAAATGCACATGGGAATGTGAGTCTAGTACAATACCCCCAACCACACCACTAAAGATCTAATGATCATAGTACCACATGTTTGCATGAAAAAAGACAAGCTCCATTCACAGCATCTTTTCCTACTGAACCTTCCATGGTAGATTATGCATTCTCAAAATAATTAATAATATACAGCCAGCTTCAAACTCCAAAAAAAAAAAAAAAAAAAAAAACCTATGATGTTATCAACATGATTAATCTCAAAGTTCTTAATCCAAGGTTCAACAGGTGGACTGTCTTAACTCTTGCATAAGACTCAACACATTATAATTGCTTCATTTTCTAATGTTTAAATCATACCAACCTGTGAAGCAACAAAACCATATGATTTTGTTGATAATAATAATAATAATAATAATAATAATAATAATAATAATAATAATAATAATAACAATATTAATAATAATAACAATAATAAATAATAATAATAATAATAATAGAAGTAATAATAATGAGTGGAAATTCTTCTTACAACAGTATCAACAAAGTTATGAGGAACCAACCTGGAGCACCTTTGACACAAATGAAGACAACAAGGTAATTAGATCATGGGACTGTTGACATTGTTATCATACTTAAATATTCTTTGAAACCAAACTTTCTTCTGAAACAGAATTTTAATAATAATAATAATAATAATAATAATAATAATAATAATAATAATAGCAGTAATAATAATGAGTGGAAATTCTTCTTACAACATTATCAACAAAGTTATGAGAAACCAACCTGGAGCACCTTTGACACAAATGAAAACAACAAGGTAATTAGATCATGGGACTGTTGACATTGTTATCATACTTAAATATTCTTTGAAACCAAACTTTCTTCTGAAACAGAATTTTATTTTTCTTTCTAACTATTACTCTGTTTATTCATACACTACACATGCATCCACTACAAATCACACTCTCATACATAGACATGCATAGGTGGAACCGCGGAGGTAGATTTTCCTTTTAATTATAAAACTGCTTAATTAGAAAAAGGATGAATGTATGGGTAAATTTGTTAAATCACCAAACAGAACATTCAATGCACTGATCACCTAGATCAATTGAGCATTTAATAATAGGAATCCTATGCTTGATGAAGTATGGTGTAGCACAGTGCACTTTCAGTGTCATTGACCGTCAATGCATCAATACACTTGATTAGCATGATAAATTGATTATCTATATAAATTTAGAATGAAATAGAGGAATCCCATGCACGATTTGCTATGGTTTTGCCTGGCAAACCTTAGCTTAACTGGCTCATCATCAGTCAGACCATCACTTGCTTACATGGCTAGAATGCTAGTCATACCAGCTGAAATACTGGTATATCATCTATATATGTAAGTATTAATTTTGGAAGACAGTAAGAGGACATGCATTTATTCAGGCATCTAAAGTGATCACCTATTTAAGATGAGCTACAGAAGCCAGAAAGCACCCTAGCAGATAGTTTAGCAAGAGGAAGGGTGAGAAGAGAACTTTGTATGTGAGTGCAGCTAGGCCTGATAAGTGCAACTGTGGTAGCTTTCATGATTTTTGCTGATATCTATGATGAATTTCTTTTCTACCAACTTTATTGTAAATGTTTAGGTCTAATTCCCATCTATTGGAAACTATATTTTCTATTTTCTCAGATTAAATATTTACCAAGCTCTCTTTATCTGGTTAGTTGCTCAAAGAGAAAAAGAAGGTTACAAATGATTAATATGACAAAAAGATATATTTAGTCCTAGGGCCGAGTATGTCTTTGAAATGTATTTACTTGTGATTTCTTTAATGCTTTTTTGATTGTTTTCCTCATGTTAATTATGCTATAGCTTAAGTTGTCACATGTATATGTTTGCTATCATATATGTAGTGCTTAAAATTTAAATTTATGCTATTTCGTGTCATATTAGTTTTCTTGTATCTCTGGTTTGTACTTTGTAGATCATTGAGGATCTGACCCATTCGAGGAAAAGTTATTCTGAGCAAGCTGCATACTCCTTGTATTTGAAATTCCCACACCCAAAAGGGGGGAGGTGTTGTTTCCATTTGCATGGTTATGAAATCTTCTCATCTTATCATATGAAATGGCCTAATACCAGTCAATAGATAGAGGCACCAATTCCATTTTTTCCAATAAAAGAAAACTTCATTATTACATTTGGAGCGTCTCTGATTTAGATCTTATTACAACAATCTGCATACATGCTCTTGTGCTCATGCATTTTATTTTTTTGATAGATAACTGGAAAAGAATTCGTTCAAGAAAAGAGTGAAGAACATACTGTCACAAGACTGACAGTATGGACAATACATCAACAGCATAAAACTGACCAACAAATACAAGATCTTTCCTCAAAACACCTGCTTTTGCTAAGGAATCAGCCAAACTATTCGCATTCCTAGGAGCCCACTGGAATGAGCAATTCAAATGGGATTGTTGATGTTTTGTTTCTCCCGGAAATCAGAATTTCCAAGGGGGTTCAACTTCTGTTGAAAGCCAAGAAATGACCACTTCACAGTCCCCTTCTATAATTAAAACCCTCCAATTGTTCTGCTGCTCATGCTTGCACTGCACAGATTCTTGAATTTTCCAGTAAATTGATAAGCATGCCTTCTACCTGGATAGGTCAAGAAGGACCCTACTAGATATGACCCTTTCTCATGAAGTCATGCCCCGTTATTCTTTAGAAGCCAAAACAAAATGCTTTCCCCTAGCTTTCACTGTTCCATCCTTTCTTCAACTTCTTTGGAGAAAGTTAACAGTATGTAGTCATTGTTAAAAAATGAGTGCAACATGAGAGGATGTAAATAAAATACTAAAAATAAGGGAAAATTCTCGATTAGTACCCTGTACTTTGGGCCTAGTGCCATTTTGGTCCCCAAACTTTAAAATGCAACAATCCAGTACCCGAACTTTCAAAACGTGCCAATTTAGTACCTACCATTAGTAGCCCGTCAGTTATCCATATCACATGATGACATGTGCGATTTTAAACTTTTAAAATGTCAAAAATATCCTTCTAAAAACACTGTTCATTGTCTTCTACATTGAGACTAAAACAGTGCTAAATGACCCAAATCAGATCTTGAAGAGAGACTGCTGGAGAGAGACAAGACGGGAGAGAGAGAGAGAGAGGTGAAGGGTGTTTGCAGAGATTATCGATTCCGTTCTTGATGTCTTGAAGAAGGAGGCTGAGAACTGTGACTGTCTTCAGGGATTTCAAGTTTGTCACTCTCTAGGTGGAGGAACTGGTTCTGATATGGGTACTTTGCTCATTTCAAAGATAAGGGAAGAGTACCCTGACGGGATGATGCTCGCATTTTCTGTCTTCCCCTCCCCAAAGGTTTCAGGTATGGTGGTTGAGCCATACAATGCAACCCTTTCTGTTCATTAGCTTGTAGAAAACACAAATGAGTGTATGGTTGTTGATAATGAAGCTTTATATGATATTTGCTTCAGGACTCTCAAGCTTACTACTACCGGCTTTTGCGATCTGAACCATTTGATCTCTGCAACCATGAGTGGTGTCACCCGTTGTCTCATGTTCCTTGGGCAGCTGAACTCTGATCTGAGGAAGTTTTCCGTGAACTTAATTCCATTCCCCCGTCTCCACTTCTTTATGGTTGGATTTGCTCCCATGACCTCAAGTGGTTCTCAACAATATCAGGCTCTGACTGTCCCAGAGTTGACTAGCAGTTGTGGGATGCCAAAGAACATGATGTGTGCTGATGACCCTCGCCATGGACGCTATCTTACTACCTCAACTCTGTTCAGAGGTAAGATGAGCACTAAGTGGATGAGCAGTTGATCAATTTGCAAAACAAGAACTCGTCCTACTTTGTCGAGTGGATTCCAAAAATTTCCTCTGTTTCATCTTCTTGAGGAAGAAGATAATGAACAGTGTATTAGTTTTGAGAAGGACATTTGGATGGTTGATAAAGAAAATTAGATGACACCTGGAGGGCATTTGTGTCTTTTTACATACCACTTAATGGTTGATTAACAGCGGGTACCGGATTGTCGCATTTTGAAAGTTTAGGTGATGGATTGTCGCGTTTTAAAGTTCGAGGACCAAATTGGCACTAGACCCAAAGTACAAGGTACTAATTGGGAATTTTCCCTAAAAATAATAAACCCCATTTCTCATCAAGAAAAAGCCAGGTAGACATAGAGCTAACACTGTACAAAAAGTCCATTCTGTTTAATGACACATCCATTGTTAAATTATGAGTGTTTAAATCATTTCTTATACTCCAACCCATGTACTTTTTGGTCAGCCCCTAGCCCTTCTAGACCCTTCAACTTATAACAGATCACTTTTTACAGGTGTTGTAGATAGTCTTCTATGCATGTGACCAAACCATCTTAGTCAGGTTAATTAATAAACAACAGAAGATACGAGACATAATAATTTTGTGATAATTGACATTTGTGAATGGCATCATACAAACCCACATATTGAGCCAAAATGAGCTAAGTTTCCAAAGATGAACCAGAAAAGTGTTGGAAGTTTCACATCAGTTTAAGTACCAGTTCTCTTTTTTTTTTTTTTTTTTGAGAGAAAGGTAAACTTTTTATTGAAGAAAGAAAGAGTACATGAGGTGATGTACAATGGAAGATACACACAGGTTACAATGGCATAATTCTATCACTACAAGTTATCCCTGTGTATTCCAGATTTAGCTAAACTATCTGCTACATGGTTTAATTCCCTAGGAATCCAGCATATGCTAACAGATAAGGATTTCAGCAGATCTCTAGCCTCATCCAAATACTGAGCCAATCTCCAAGGACCTCCTTCCTTCTCCCCAAGCCACTTTACTGTATTGCTGGAGTCTCCTTTGATTGCTAGGTCAGTCAAGCCTAGATCTCTTGTATAAGAAGCCCCATTAAAGCAGCAACTATTTCAGCTGCTGTGGAGTCTGCAGTCCCAATTGGTCCACTAAAAGCCCATATAGGGTATCCATCCCTGCTGTTCCCACGCTTCCGATTTCACTTCCATCAAAGTACAGAGTCACATCTTTCTCTTCTCCTAGGCGGGGGAGGCTTTTCATTCTTGAAGGGCTGGGTGAGGAGAAAAGCACTTCCACCACATTCTGCTGAAGCACATTCATGGTAATTCCTTTAAAACTTTCTGAATTCAGCACCCACAAATTGCATGAGTAAGTTATATGAGAAAGCAGGTCTCCAAAGGTTCTAGCTTTGTTGTCAAAAATGCACTTGTTCCGTTCATCCCAAACACCCCACAAGACTGCTTGAGCCACTGTGTGCCAGTAGATTCTCCCCTTTTACCTAATCCTCTCCCTTGCCATTGCCTTAAGGAATCTTCAATATGTCCCAGGAAAATCCAGCTGTAACTGACTAGGTTAAGAAAGTACAGCCAAATCTTCTACTGAGCAATCTATATATCATATTACATTTGCATTGATTAACAGTGCAATATCAAATAGAACCTTGGACTTAGGAAAAAAAAAGCATAACCAAACAGATAAAAGAACAAACACACTATACTTTTTAAAAGTCAATAATACATCAAAATGGTACATAGCGCTCTTAACAAATAACAAATAAATCCACAATTCCACATTAAAACTCTAGTTCCAAGAATATCATCAAGACTTCCAAACAACACTCCATATAACAAATGGATGAAAATAGAAAGAAATGTGTGGTGTAAGTAGATCAATTACACATATAAACTCCACTTGAATACCTATGATTAACTTCATAGAAGTCCATCTTACCCTCAGATGCTGGTCGTAAGGAAAACCCAGATAGTGTCCTGGTCCCTTGTACAGAAAACTGCACCAGACCAACAACTTCAATTTCTTCCCCAACTTCTTCTGCATTAGAATCAACAGGCATCCGAGCCCTAAGCCTACCAGGAGGGCCTTTTAAAGGAACCTCTGGAATATGCCATCTCAGTTCCTTCTCTGATCTGTTTAGAACAGCTCTCGGTGACACCTTCAACAGTGATGGTTCTACTGGTAATTTCAGTACAAATGTAACATCACTTAAGGGCACAGCTAGCTCTGGGTTGGACACATATTGTATCATCACAGAGAGTAGAGTCCCACTATGACGCTTTACTAGGCGAACCCTCAAAGGAATTGGAGTTAGACGAGGTAGAAAACTATACTTCAAGATTGGAATTGGCTCCTCGGAAGACGATGTCCTCACATGAAACATTCCATTTCCCAGGCTGCTGACACAAGAACTTTGCATCACAACTCTCTTAATTCCAGTTGTACCCTCAACACGGAAGGAAAACTCAGTTTCTTTATCACCTGATGTTTTGGGAGGTAAGGTTTTCAAATAGACAACACCCATTAAACCCACCCTAGCAAGCAGTGATTCTCTGAACTCCACACTAATCTCTTCAGAAATATACATCTCAGGACCCTTCATTTCTGTTTTCTTCACCAAAATGTTTTCAAGAGGAGTGCCTGTGTCAGCTCCAGTTGCAACAGTCGGCGCAGCATCACTTTGACCAGATTGTAGAGCTTCCAGTCCACCCAGCCCGTCTTTCTTTGCCACCTTTGTTGGCCCCACAAACTCTGATGCATCAAGACCTCCACCAAAAGCATTATCAAAGCCTTCAAAAGCTTCACGAAGACTCGCCTCCTCGTTACTGAATTCTACGCCACCATAGTCCCCTTCAAACCCTTCAACACTAATGAAAGTGGATTGTGTGGCAGCAGCAGGTGGAAGAGTTGTAATTTCAAGCCCTGCAAGAGCCTTCGTAAGATCAGTAGCTGATGTATCCTTGTTCTTCTTAAACCCACCCACAAGCTCTTCCGGCTTACTCAAAGCATCACTAGCAGCGAAAGGATCCTTCTCTTCCTGAGCCTCCTCCTGCTTCTGCTGTTGTTGATCTTGTTGTTCAGTGCTTTGTGCTACAGGGGCAAGCGTTGCAGCAACCTCATCACCAGCTGCCAACGTCTCCGGAGGTAGTTCAAACCTCGCATTGGAGAAAAGCTCCACATTGGCCTCATGCTCAACGGATGTAACCTCAAGACTAATCCAACTATCGGCTCCCCGTATCTTATTCTCGGCATCAATGGCCGAATGCACCATCTTGGCAATCCCCTCACCATGCATAGACGCCAACATAGCAGCAAGCCTAATACTACTAACACCCTTGAGAACAATATCCAGAGCCATGTAAATCTCCGCATACTTCCTGTGCAGCTTCTCCGGCGTCACATCGACGCCACGACATGCAGCAACGATAACGCTCACCGCCTGATTAACAATCCCAATGCATTCAAACACATTATTCACACAATCATCCCGATCCACGGTCGTGATCCCCAAAACATATATCCCATTCACGAGCCGATAAACAACACGATACTTACTCTCGACACCCACGATTACCTGCCCGCTCGACGCAGCAAGTGGATCGTCTCCTAACGAAAAATCGCCATCCTCAGCCGAGTTCTGCTTGCCGCTGGCGAAGGCGAGACGTGTCTGGCGGAAAGCGGAGAGGGCGACCAGAGCTCTTGCAGGTGGAAACCACTCGCGAGTCTGAAGAAGGATATCTGATCCGTTCGCGGGTTGCAGAGAGAGGGCTAAGCAAGCCATTGCCCTCCTATTCCTCCAAGAACTGGAAGAGATCTATGGTATGGTCCCTCGGATCAATTAGGGTTTCCTAATCTCCTTTTCTTGTCACTATGTTTTTGGCCTTGTTTATGCAGAGATCTGAGAGGCTTTCGATCGATTGGCGAGTAGATCCAATTCGAGGGGAGAAATGGCGAGGGACATGTGATTGGTAGGTGTTGTCTGCAATCTGCATCAGAGAGAGAGAGAGAATTTGGGTTTCGGGAGACGCCTGACCTACGCTGACTCGATTTTAAAACATAACTCGGCTGTATTAACTTTTAAGACGAGTCCAAGTTCTCAACCCGGATCATAGAGTTGACTCAATTACATACGAGCGGCTTTTAGGGTAGCCCTGTCAATCATACCCGAAAATCTGATGTTCGATCCGACATCCGTTCCATCATCTCGAATTTTGGTATACATTCTATTAATATATAAATTTTATGGGAAAATTATGATGCGGAAAAGATATGGTATGGGAAGAGTTTTCATCAATCAAAATCCACCCATGAATTTTGATAAATAACACTTGATTGGCTATCAGTTTATGATTTGATTCGAGTCCGCTCGAATTCGAATTCATATACGAGGCTATCAAATATGATTGGATTCGGATGTAAGGTTTTGATAATCGGATTAGATTTAGATTTTGCTGAATCTGATCCGGTTACAGCCCTATCTAGGGCGTCAATGCACTGGGTTCAGGTTGGACCTAATCTGACTCAAAATCAATAAAATTGAGTTGAATCATAAATATGTTGTGTCAAAGTTGGACCAGTCTAAAATTTTATGGTCCAGAGGGGTCCAAGGGTATGTTGGGTGAATAACTAGTTTGAGTCTTCAGAGGTCCTTTCCCAAACCATTTACACTTATTTTAAATACAAAAGGGTCCATTTGGTTTATGGGAATGGTCCATTCCGATTCCAATTGTTTGGTTGGTTGGGATTTAATATGGATGAGTGCTTAGGGGATTTCGAGAAAATTTCAGACCTGAAACACAGATGGTGGTTTTGAAATTTAAGGTTCAAATATGTAGGGGTTTCTCATGAATGGAAGTTTTACAAAGGTTAAGAGTTTTTCTAAGATTTCTCATCTTCAAATCCACACCCAAAGTATCTCGAAAGCCCCCCTCAGGTTTCCTCCCCTTTAACTTGACTTGGGTCAATATTTATAGAAAAGAAGAGAGAAAGAGTTATGATATTTGTCTGATCAGAGAGCCTATACTTGAAGACAATTTTTTCATAAAAATGGGTAAAGATTTTTCAAAGGAAATGGTGTTCAGTCAAGTTTTCTTCTTTAGTGAAAGGTTTTCTTTGGTTTGGGGGTGGTTTTCAAGGGTTTTGTGCATCCAATGGTATCTTGGGGCATACTTGTCATGGTAGTCTCATATTTAGGGCTATCAGTGGTAGGAAAAGTAAATTTGATGAACTTTTAAAAGTTATTTTGTCTTTTCTTAGTCTTAAGTGGAAGTATCTTTGGGTTTTTGGGCTTTTTGGGTCCATTAGGCTCAATTTCATTGGTCCAGGTGTTTGAACATGTCAAAAATGGGTTTGACATCATCTGTCACCTTTTTGAGGTTTCAAGTTGGGACTGATGAGGTGGCAATTCAATATAGCACGTTGAAATGGCATCTTCCTAGTTTAATAGTCAAACGAGTGAATTAGGATGTAAAATTTGACATGATGGGGTTTTTTGGATCTTTATACATAGTGGTGAGGTCTGATTGGCCAAAAAGGGTCAGGATGATAGGTATCTATGGTTGACAAGTTCAGATCAATGAGATTTATTGAAATTGAATCTTTATTTATGAAGGGTTAAATGGGGGAATTATGGGCTGAAATTTAGTGGGTAGGCATTTTTTAATATTTTGAATCTAACGGAAGTAATGGATCTTTGATCAGAGGTGTAGATTGACATATTTAGTTTGGGTCAATGGTTTATTAGTTAACGAAACGACCTAGAATAGAATCTCACTTTTTTAACGGTCAAATGGAGGAGTTTGGTCCAAGTTCAAAGTATCGATATATATCATGTCGATGGCTTCTTGATACGCCCATCCAGGGGTTGTATTAGATTAGACACTAGTTCATAGGGTAGTTGGGCCTTAAACCAACTCCTCTGAACCGATTTCGAAAAATAAATAAATAAAACTTAAAAAAAATACCGATCGGTGTATCGACCTGTGTCGATACTTTGAACCTTGAGTATAGTCATGAAATTTGACGTGCTAGGGTATTTTAGGTTTCCAAACATAGTGATGAGTTATGATTGGTTAAATGAACTTGGGAAGATGGATAATAAGATTTGTTGAAATAGCACTTAGGCTTGATGGTGGGTCAAACAGGGGAATTTTGAGCTAAATTTTGGTGGGTATGCACAAATTATGGTGAGGAGTCAAGTGGATGGTTCTGATCTGAGAAAGAAATGGTCAATCTTGGTAATTGTTCGAGGCCATCAAAATTAGACATTGGTGTTTTTACAATTGATTGTCAAAGATTTGTGGTGAGATTTGCTTGTTGATTGTATCATAGTGATCTTGACGTGATGGATGCATTGGATCAGGGCTGTTAGAAAAAGGGATTTGGCGTGATGGACAGTGGATGTGTGACTAATTTATAATTTCCTAAGTCTGAGGGCCATGTCTGATTAGATGTCGATGTTAATCTATTGGTTTCGAGGTTTTTTACTTGCTTGTGGGTTGTGTCAAAAGAGGGAATTTTGGCTTCATAAAGTCTTAACTTGATCTAGTTATGATTTGGGGTTTAAAAGGAGGGTACAACTAAATGAAAGCTGACCCTCCTACCTTGGTTATTTTGCTTCTTCTTTCTAATTGGGGAAACAGGTTTGATGAACTGTGTTCAAAGGTAGGGGAAAGGTTTGGGGGGTCAAACGAGCTTGGAAGTTGGTCAAACAAACTCTAACCCACTATGGAAGGTTCTTTGGTAACACAGAGGCTACGCCAATGAGTTGAAGACTCCCAACTGCTCAGATGCACCAAAAAATCTGTTGTAAGAGAGTCCTTTGAAGTCTTTATGCGCAGCCAGCCATGAGCACATCATCTCTTTAACTCTAACTAAAATCTTTTACCAGGTAGAAGATGTGTCTTTAAACACCTGAGCATTCCTTTCAAACCTTACATACCAAAGTTATGCCAGTAGGAACTAGGCCCCAAACTATCTGCACTCTTTTTCTTAAGTCCTTGAACTCCCAACTTAACAAAAAGACATGAATGGATTATGGGAAACAACCCAACCAGCTAAAAGTTGCTAGGAAAATGCTCCACACTCTTGTTGGGGGGGGGG